TTAACTTTAATGTTATTGAATCATTGAGAAAATAAGCATGGAGTTCTGGAAAGCTGTTTCGTCTTCGTTTGGGTCTCTCTATCAGTGTGCACACCCCCACTCAACAGAAGTCGAACCCAATGAATTCTGACTTCTCTTTTAATTCACGATATACGACTCCACCAATAGCTAATGTCACTATGATTGTAGCTCTTCATGCCTAACTAATCGGTGGACTCCGCTGGTCACAGGATTTCCCGCTAAAACTTCATACAAATCCAATCTGTAGTGAATGACCAGTGAGCACTTGGTTGATTTCAAGACTTTTCACGAATTGACTACACAGTTAGAGAACCATTGACCAACACGTTGACGGAAGAAGCACAGCAAAAACAGAACCTCAACTTACTATACAAGAAACAGAGGTAATGAAAGCATCAGTCACTACGAACAGAAGAGGTTTGAATAACGTCATTTCCTTCACTTATTTAGGCAGCATCGTTTCAGCTGCTGATGATGAGGATCTCAAAATCGGTTGTGATCGGAAGGTCGAGAAAGATCTTCATCACTCTGAAATTAATTTCGGAAACCTTCTGCACTCAGTTGCATAAATAACAAATTCCTACTTTCAACACCGATGTAAAGACGGTCAGTCCTTCTATATAGGTCAGAAACATGGCATGTTCGTCATGAAAAGCATTTCTAACAGGTTTTCCTACAGACTTTTATCAACAGCTGCCCTTCTCTCTCCATACTGAAGATCATCAGATGATTGGCCAGAAAGAATCAGCTGCAAGAACCTCTGGGAACGAAACAACCAAGAACCTATTGGCTCAACAAATATTCCGAATAAATTAGAGATAGATTAAAAACATTTTGAGGAGACCGTCGAATGACATCGTATGTGAGACGCTGAAGTGAGGCATTTGAGGGTGACATGTGGAAGACACCATATGAATCAGAAGAAATGCAGGCTTATGGTGAATCGTGGGAGACCAGCTAAAGAAGACTCCATAGAACAAGGTGAAACGGAGGTATGCTGTTTGAAGCCCGATGTTCTACTCGAAGGAAGCCAAGGGAATAATAAACTAGAGAACTATTGGAATCATTGAATCACTGAAATTAGTCTTGCGTCGCTGGCACGCTGGCTCGCCGACCACGCAGGTGGGCCGGGGTTCGACCCTCGGCCGACGAGGCACTCCTTTGCCTCGTTGATCCAGTAATAAGGTTGTTAAAGTGGGAAGGTTTAGCATGAGACTAGCAACTCCATTCTGTAAAAATAATCTCCACTGTTACAGAAACTTCAAGCCTCTAACTTGAAGCCCTGGGTACATAAAGGAATATATATAAAAAAATAATTGAAATCGGTCAAACCTCTGACTGGATAACTATAACATTCATCGATTTAAACCCAATGATCTGATCCTTAGTTTGCATTCGAGTCAATCGTTTAGTTTACATATAATTACACACGGTAAACATACTGACTCTAAATATATCTGCTCCTTTCCTCCCAACAGACAGAGTAAGACACAAAGAGAGAGAGAGAGAGAGTTGAAATAGTAAGTAAGTAAGTGTCAAGTAAGAGACACTTATTACGTAATCAGCCAAATAAGCAAATAAATTAATTAATTACAAGGCTTTACTAATCAAAAACAAGTAAAAGCCAAATAAATAACTATTTTTGTGATGCAATATAAAATAAGATCCAATTATCAGAATATTTATTACACATGGCTATGTTGTAATCGTTTAACAGCTCTAATGGTTTGTGAAAAGAAAAAAACAAGCATAGAAACCAAATAAATAGGTTTTCTCTGAATATTGATTAATTATTATAAAAAGTTTAGCCTACCTGGATTCCATAAAAGTCGATTTATTGATCAGCTTTATGGGTCTATTACAGTTATGAACTCTTTTCTAATCCATTTCAAAAATGTAGATTTTTTAGTGACCCTCTCTCTTTCTCTCTCTCCTAACGCCTTCTTTTATAGTTGCTACTGATGAAAGTGTATTGATCGTTGAACACTTTTACTGAGTAATACAATGAAGCGTTGGATGCTGTCTAGTTTTATGTTCATTATTATTATTATTTCCTTTAATTCCTAGAAGAACATAAGGCTTCAGCCGCGCGTCTCCATTGCGTTTGGTTAGAGTTTTCACCTGTCTCCAAGTCTGCCCACATGCTTTCATCTTCTCTTCATATGACCTCCTCCATGTCCCCCCTGCACTGACGAACAACTCGCCACTACTCTTTCGGCTTCCACTCGAAGGCCTATCTTGTGATATCACTTGATGGTTTCCTCAGAGTATGGCCAATCCACCTCTATTTCTTCCTGCTCCTTTGTTTCACAATCGGCTCCTGCTGGGTTGGTTCGCTCCCAGAGATTCCTTTTGCAGATCTTTTCTGGCCGGCCATCTGATCTTGAGTGGTATTGGGCGAAGACAGCTGTTAATGATTGTCTGTAATTTGTTTGAGGCGCTCTTTATGACGCGCCAAGTCTCTGATCCGTATAGTAGCACTGACTTTACATTGGAGTTGAAAATCGGGATCTTATTTTCATTTTCGTGCTGAGTGCTTTTGACCTCCGCACAGACTTGAGAGTAATGAAAGCTTGTCTTGCTTTCCCGGTCTTTGCTTTGATAGCCTCGTCAGTTCCCCCTGTGGTTGAGACGATGCTCCCCAGGTCGGTAGGTAAAGGAGGTTGTTTCTTTCAGGTTTCTCCCATTTATGCTGGCTGATTGTTGTCTGTTGTTGTTGCCGCTGTTTCTGTTGGCCAGGAATCGTCATCACCTCTGTTTTATCTATGTTCACTTGAAGTCCTATCTTTGATGCTTGTTCTGCCAGCTTGTTGCTTTTCACTTACATATCTTCCAGTTTGTGGGAAATCAGACATATGTCATCGGTGAAGTCCAGATCCTCCAAGTTTTTGTGCGTCCATTTTATGCCTGTTTCCTCATTGTCCGTTGTCTGTGGCATTACTCAATCTATTGCAATCAGGAAATTCATTGGCGATAGTTGACAGCCTTGCCTCACTCCCGTCCTCACTTCGAAGGCTTCCGTAAGTTTCCCGTTGTGGATTACTTGGCATGCAGCATTGTCGCACAACTATTGTTCATTATTATTATTGATTATTTCTTGTGGGTTCTGACTGGAACACTGGGCTTCAACATCAAATCTCCATTTCATTCTTGTTCTCTGTTATCCTCTGCTGCTGTCCTCTTCTCATCTCCATGTGACCTCTGCACTGACTGCCAACTCTTCGTTTCCCAATTTGGATTCCATTCCAGCGATGGTCTGGTGTGTGATATGTGTGTAATAACCTGTTGGAAATGCTTTCCGTGACGTGAGCGCCAAGTGTTTCTAACCCACATAGAGTAGCCAATGACTGACGTAACATATTAATGCTTCTAAGTGCAACAGAGATTTCCACATTGATTTCCGAGTGATGAGGATCTGTCTTACTCTCTCCCTAATTCTGGTGCCTAGTTTTCTATTAATGGTTATAACAGAAATTGTCTATTTATTTGCATTTTTTCGTGTTCAGAGTAGAACACGTAGAGAAGGGACTTCAAACGTCGCTGGAGTTTTGCTAACAATAGTATTGTTGCATGCTTCACACTCCATTGTAATACCGTTTGTTGGTGGATTAGGAGGATGATTTGTATTTGATGTCACACAAACTCGAAGAACATAGAGAAAACGGACGTACTGAAGATAACCAACCAACGAATAGCAACAACAACAACCAGCACTAATCACCATCACCACGGGAAACATTTGACAGAGGTTAATTCCTGACTTCACTTATCTAGCCAGGAAGCATCGTTTCAACTACAAACGGAACGGATGAAGACGTCAAAGCCAGCCAGAGTCGGAAATTCAAAATATAACTTCCTCAGTCTGAAATCAGTTTGCAAATCGTCTGCACTGACTCAGTCAGTATAAACAACAAGATTCGGATTTGGCCAAAGTATCATGAAAAGGATTTCCAACAGTCGACTTCAAACTTTTATCAACAGCTGCGTCCTTCGCTGGCTGGTTCCATACGGAAGATCAATTGGCCGGCCTGTGGGCTGGCTATGCAAAAAGAATTAGCAACAAGAAACTCTAGCCGAGAACAAACCAACAACCGAGAGCCGATTGCTCAAGAAATATATAGGGGAAAACGGAGATGGATGCATCGGGCATGCGATGAGGAGGCCATCCAGTGACATCGTGCTCATTGCAGGTCATTGCCCGAGTAGAATCCCATTGGGAAGTGACGAGTGGGTCGTCAGTGCGAGTGTGACATGGAGGAGATCGTGTGTGTTAGAGGGGAAGGAGGAGATGGGAGATTATGGGCAATCGTGGAGCTAGTCAGCTGAAGAGGTGTTATGTACTGGTCGAGAATTTAATAGTCCTGACGTAAGAAAGACGGAAATCAGAAGACCGCTAGGTTTGCGATGATACTTCTATTTTCCAAACACAAGGAGAATCAATGTGTCACACAAGAGTGTGAGAGCAAAATAGTGTGAATGTCCGAACAAGTGTGTGAGCGAATATTCAAAATGAACAAAACAATAGACAGTCCTAACATGATTGGCTAATTATAATGGAATATTGATCCATATATACATAGCAAATATACAGACTGTCAAACAAACACACATATTATATGGATATATATCACCAAGGTCAGACTGTCAAACAAAACACACATTTTATATGGATATGTATCAAGAGGACAGCAGAAAACAAGACAAAGTTGAGATGTGTTGTTGAAGCCCCATTTTTTATTCGGAACCCATGGGAGTAGTAATAATAATAACAATAGTAAATTAGGAGAGGTTTAGAAATAAGTTAGTTAGCTAACAGTTCAACTCAGATTTCCTGCTTCACAGAGAATTTTCATTCGCCTTATTTTGAACTTTTTTGGCCTTTGTGTTGTTTTAACCTAGAATAACTGTGTAATACATACCTTCATTAATTGTAAAATGCCTAATTTCACCCTTCTTCTTTTCTTTTTATTTTATTCAAGGAATGCGCTGAATGTTGTGAAGGATGATTTACTGTCTAAGATTGATTATTTAACTTCGTGAGTTCTATGCCTGTCTATTTTTTATCGTATACTGGTACAAACAATACGCATATTGTATAATAATAATATTAACAATAATGAAACCTTTATTATGGACAATAGGTTCACAAAAGGTATATAGTTCTCAGTGTAATTTATTATATTGCATAATATTTTCGCTTCATTCTGTATCTTCAAGTAAAATCTAGTCGTCCATGGTGTATCACATGCGACTCAGGGCTGTTTGATCTGAAGCACAGATTTACATATTGCCCTTATGATATTTTCCCTTCGTTTCCCAGCAATAATCACTGGTAGTTAGCCAGTTAAAGAGAGTGTGCTTGATCGCATCTTACCCATTAAGGACAATAGGAATCCGATAAAGTCTCATGTTTTCAAGTTAGAGAACCATTGAAAAACCATCACAGGGAGTACTGGACAGCTGTTTCGTCAACGCAGCTTGGGTCTCTTCATCAGTACGCACCCACAGCACAGTGGGGTTCGGATCCAGGACCTTCTAGTTACAGAGCTAGCTCGTAAGCCACTGAGACCTGATCCAATTACCGGCCCATGAATTCTAACTTTTGTCAATTCATGACATAGCGTGACCACTTCGCAATGTCTTTTTCGATGAGTTACTACCTCACCTTCAACTTGCTGTACCTTACTGGTCACGACTTCTCAATGGTTCTCTAACTGATGTCAGCTCATAATGAAATCTTCCAAATCAAATATGATGTTATTGTATCGTTGGATGGATGGATATTCATCAAAGCCCAATGACTCAAGCAGATCTTCGCCTTCTAATTTACTTACAGTATGATCTATAAGTAACCACTACTATATTAAGGCGGTTATTCTGTAAGGTATGGGGGAAGGAGAGAGGTAGAATAAGAGAGGGGGAGTCGGTTACGTCATCCATAAGGAATTCCAAATGAGAACAACATTCATTTCATATGAAAGTAAACCCTGAAGAGATGAGTGTATTGTCTAGGATGGACAATGAATGAAAGCTTTGAAATTATATTATCCTGCTTATAGGAGATAAAATAACATCAGTTACATTTGTCTCCTGAAGTCGCAAATCTTCTGAATTATTTCAGAAAGCATCTTACCTCAATACCTAGTTACATTTAGATAAAAATCCCTAAGATGATATTACTACTTAGAAACAAACACGAGACAAATATACGACTTTGTTTGGCTTGAATTATGGGATCACTAATGCTACACCTATGTCAAGATATTTTTCATAGTTTCACTCTGAGAGAGGTCTTGTCAGGACTTGATATATATATATATATATTTTCAAGTATTGGTTTTTGTAGGGATTTTGTTTGATTGCATGGAGGATTTAATCATGAGCTGACATCAGTTAGAGAACCACTGGAAAACCTGGGACTACTGGACAGCTGTTTCGTCCTAGTTTGGGACTCTTCAGCAGTACGCACCCACCGGGATTCGAACCCAGGACCTTCTGGTTACAAGGCGAGCTCGTAGACCATTGAGCCACTGGGACCCGATCTACGAGCTCGCCTTGTAACCAGAAGGTCCTGGGTTCGAATCCCGGTGGGTGCGTACTGCTGAGGAGTCCCAAACTAGGACGAAACGGCTGTCCAGTACTCCCAGGTTTTCCAGTGGTTCTCTAACTGATGTCAGCTCATGATTAAATCCTCCATGCAATCAAACAAAATCCCTACAAAAACCAATACTTGAAAATTCATCTGATGCTCACTAGTGACTGGCCCTATTCAGGCAGTTAACCTGGGGTTCTAGTGGGAAGCCGTGACCAGTAGGGTACAGCAGGTCGAAGATGAGGCAGTAACTCATCGAAGAAGACATTGCGAAGTGGTCGCGCTATGTCGTGAACTGGCAGAAGTTAGAATTCAAGGACCATTGGATCGGGTCCCAGTGGCTCAATGGTCTACGAGCTCGCCTTGTAACCAGAAGGTCCTGGGTTCGAATCCCGGTGGGTGCGTACTGCTGAGGAGTCCCAAACTAGGACGAAACGGCTGTCCAGTACTCCCAGGTTTTCCAGTGGTTCTCTAACTGATGTCAGCTCATGATTAAATCCTCCATGCAATATATATATATATATATATATATATATATATATATATATATATATATATATATATATGTAAACACTAGGATCGGCGTATTATGCCGTCGAATTACCATTGGTGCTACAGGGAAAGTGCAGTCACACATATTAAAGTCTTCAGCCACCATCAAAGAGGACTTACGAAAAGGAGGCGTCAGCAATCTGTTTGTAATGTAAATATGTGCATCGGTGGCGCAGCGGTAGGAATGCTTACCAACCACGCCCCACGTGGTCCAAGGTTCGATCCCTGGCCACAGCCGCACTCCTTTACCTCGCTAAGCTAGTAATAAAACTCTTAAGGAGGGAAGGGTGGGTATGAGGCTAGCACCCCATCCCGTAAAAATAAACACACAACTTAATGTCAGTAAAAAGTTTGAGCATTGTGGAATATATCAAATAAAGTATAATTATATTTCAATTGCTTACGCAAAATGATAAAAGTCAATTTGGACGAAGAATATTCTTTTCAATAATTTCTCCTCTTCAAGTTCTTACAGCTATAAAATATAATATTTGTTGTCGTTACAATAATGGCCAGTTATTCGGTGGATACATTTTTAACATAGAATAACAGATTATAATTGGTGGATGGTGACTAGCAGTGGAATCCAGGTTGAGCATTTCGTCCTATCTGTCCAATCAATCGACGGGAAAATCTAAAAGATTCAATTAGAATAACAGATTAGTTGTTATGGGGTGTCAAAATAAATGTTCGTATTTTTGTGACAGACGTGCTCTGGGCTGAAATCGATTAAAAAGTATTTCGGTGAAATGGGAGACAATAGGGGTGGTGATTAATCATAACAGAATTGTAGAGTGTGTGGTAGGAAGAACTGACAAGTCAGTTCAAGGTTATAAAAGGTGTCAAGGGTGACTGGCTAGTACAAAGTAGTATGCACTAAATAGGAGGAGATGGTAGATAGTAAGACTGCAATGAGAAGTTCATTATGACATAACCAACGTGTGAAATGAAACAGGTGGAGGCATATTATATTGAGAAAAGAGATAATATCACTAATAATAAGTCCGGATAGTATAAATGAAAAATTTGATAGTATTGAAAGAATGTTTGCATGAAGGGTATAGATTATGACGAATAATAATAGTAACTGTCATAATAAGCGAGGAAAGGAAAAAAAATCAATAGGTTTAAGGGTATTGGATTGATGATTCTCCTTCTTCACGCCAAGGGTACTTCTTCCCCTTAACCTTTCATTATGAACCTCTCATTGAAGTAATACCATCTCCTCCTCTTTAAAACGTACCACTTTGTACTAGCCATTCACCCTCCTGACAACACCTTTTATAACCTTGAACTGACTTGTCAATTGCCCTATCCCACACTCTGCAAATCTATTATGACTAATCACCACCATTGTCTTCCATTTTACCGAAATATTTTGTAATCGATTTCAGCCCCAGAGCACGTCTGTCACAAAAATACACCCCATAACAACTAATCTGTTATTCTACGTTAAAAATGTACCTATCTGTCTGTTTTTGACGTAGAACTTTGCACAAATGTGCGGAAGTTCAAGTCGCCACACTCCCTGTAGCATGCGAAGCAAGAGAAGAAAGTACAAGAAAAGCATAATAGAAACAGTGAGCAGAGATGTGAGACATAGGAGTAATAAAGAAAAACAAAACAGTTTCATTGAAGATCATAAGTCACAGGGAGTGGATGCATCTGCGCCACTGAGAACGGTTTTGAGCCATGTCACCAATTGTTTCCAACCATAGATTTTTACCGTTCCGAGGACCCCAGCCTGGAAGTCTACACCTTCCTACGTGGCTTAGACCAACTGTTGTGGATTTCATTGACTGGTGAAGCCAAGTTTTTGTTTGACCGCCGCTAACTTTTTTCCAGCCTGACCCTATATCCGTTAAAAATGTATCCGCCGCATAACTCGCCATTGTCGTATTGACAGTAAATAATACATTTTATAATTGTAAGAACTTGAAGAGGAGAAATTATTGAAAAGAATATTCTTCGTTCAGACTGATTTTTAATTCATTATGATATGGGGAATATTTCACATTATTAAATCGTGTAATAACAATAAAATAAATATAATTCTACTTATAAACAAACGTTTCAGGTAATGTTTAATTCGGGAACACGATCAATATATGTATATTATCACTTGAGAATTAAACAAAGTACGTTATTACCGGTAGGATTACTGAAAAAAATGATTAAAGCTAGATGACGTCACCGGCTCATCTCTTCTTCTTCTTCTTACAACTATATTGATCTCGATTGTCTCCATAGCGTGAAATCACGTTTTTCAGACTAGATGTATTATCGAATCGATTATGGTGGTGCCAAGCTTCTTACAACATCATCACATCACACACTACAATCGTATTCCGTTAGAAATATTAGAGAGGAAAAATGAGAGACTGTAAGAGATGAGGAGTGTTTGTGTTAATCACCTCAGGAACAGAAATCTAGTGTATAATATTCGTATGCGTTTTAAACGACACTGTGTGCTGCCACTCTCAGTAGGATGCTTTTTCTTGAGTTCTGTTTATCAACTTGTAAATCAGCGGGTTGTAAAGAATTTAAGTATTAGATATTTAAAGGAAATAACACCTAGGCTAAGTTAGATGGATAGGTGTCTTGGTAACTTAGTGTTCAAGCAAGCCACTATATACACTTTATGCGCGTTTGAGAACAACCAATAGCCTGTACTTGTTTGTATGCCTTCGCCTATCGCCTCCTCCCCCTCACATTCATCAATATCATCATTATTATTACTATGTGACCAGGAAAGAGAATGGTACAATAAGATGAAGTATACACATAGAAAACTTAAACTGACCTGTTAGTGTACTGATTTTTCGGGTTTTGAACCCTAACTCTGAAATTTTAATATAATTTACTCAAGTGTTACGTTCACAGAGCTAGATTAGTCCGCTCTAATGACTGCTGAAAATGGATATCCAGAAAAGTGTAATGATAAAAATAGAAATTTAAAAAGCTACTGCAACTGGGGTAATATGTCAATAGGTCTGCAAAAGATCTTGTTTTTTAAACTACACCTCCTTGATGATGACATCAGAGAATGCAATAAATGGGCGCCTTCTTTACTTCAGAAATCCATTGTCTCTTCACAACCACTCCAATTTTATGTTTTCGGTAATTAAGAATAAATTACCTAATTTTGCCTCCTCTATATGCATTGGTGGTTCCGAGGTAGAATCCTCACCAACTGTGCGCGGTGAACGGACTGTCTGGGGTTCGACCTCTGCCCCCAGGCCAACGAATTCACTCCTAGACCTCGCTTAACCCTGGTAGTGTAAGCGTGGTAAAGAGGTAAGGTATGGAAGTAAGGTTAGTAATCTCATCCTGTTAAAAAAAAATAATGCACCTCTGCTAATGAAACTTCAAAGCTGAAACCCTAAAACTCTGTGTTCCACTCGGAACGCAGAGGATTGAATTTTTAAAAAATATGTACCTATCCAGTTTGACTATTTCTCTGGGGCCATTTCAATCTGAAGCTACAATCAGTCGTCTTCATCGGATTTCTGTACATCATCCTGTGTCGTCGCGAAGCAAAATGTGATGTATAAGGTCTGTTTGCAGCTCTGTGTGTGTGTGTGTGTGTCTTAACTCACCTTGCCCCCCCCCCTCAATCTTGGAGAAATATACAACATGTGGTAAGAAAAGCTAACTAAAACACGTGCAGTAGTACGCATTTGTTTAAACCCAAGGACAAAAAAAGTAATAGCTGAATATTCAAGTATTGATTTGTAGGGATTTGATTGATTGATTTTTTCCAGGATTTCATCATGGGCTGATATCAGTTAGAGAGAACCACTGGGACCAATATCTGAATATCAATGAGATGCTCACTAGCGACTGATCCTATTCAGATAGGTAGTTGCCTGGGGGTGTAGTGTGAAGTCGTGACCAATAGGATACAGCACGTCGGATGTGAGGATAAATACTTGCCACTGATGATACTGGCTAATGGTCACACTATGTCTGGATCGTATCCCAGTGGCTTAATGGTCTACGAGCTAGCTCGTTAGCCTTGTAACCAAAAGGTTGCGGGTTTGAACCCCAATGTGGTGTGGGTGCGTATCACTGAAGAGTCCCAAGCACTAAGACGAAACAATGTTAATTACTTTTTTATTTCTCAAGCATTTGACGCGCTTGGCAGTAAAATGCTCAAGGACACCCATGATTCCGCTTGAACGTCGTCAAGTTTCATATTGGAACCTTGTGTAGATTCAATCGGTTGTAGACATTCCAAACGTTTATGAGAGAGACAGAGAGAGAGAGAGATTTGGAGACCACACCACTAGACGTCATACACTTTTTTATTTAAAAAGAATAGATTTAAACAAACTGAACAGGGGAAAAATTACTCACAATCAATCTCCAATGATGGAGTTGTTGTTTTTTTCTCTCAGTGAAGCGGCCAGGTTTTAGGTTTTGCTGCTGCTGCTGCTGCCGCCGTCTACACTCAGCAAAACTTCACACAATGCTGAAATCATACAGATCAAAGAATCCAAGTTTATTAAGATTGATTCACCTGAGCTACAAACTCTGTATTATTATTATTATTATGTATGATGAGAATATATATATATATATATATATATATATATATATATATTAAGTACATACTTAAATGTATAATTACGTCAGTACTCTCTATGCTACTAGTGTTTTTAAAAGCCTTAGTCTTATGATATTAACTTGTGCTTATATGACTATTATTGCCAGTATCACTATTATTATTATTGTTATTATTAATATGACTATTCTCTTTACTATTTTCTATTATTATTATGATTATTATTATTATTGTTAATAGAGAAAATTTATCACTGCGTGAATCAGTTGATATGCTAACACATGCACGTGCCAGTCTACAAGGTGAATTGACAAATACGGATCAAATGTTAAGTGATGCTCGTTCAGAAATTACTCAGTTAACTGAAAAGTTATCAACGTATTATCAAGAGAATAAAAATGAAGTAAGTGATAAGGTGGGGGAGAGTGTTATGGTTAAATTATATTGTAGACTGATCGTGTATATATATATATATATATATATATATATATTTGCTTAGCAATATTTCACTAACCGACTGATTGACGGGTTGATTGACTCATTCAATGATTGACTAACTGACTACTCATGCTGCGTCACTATACTCTACTTATTGTTGTTGTCGATTCATTGAAGAAAACACAAACAGAACAACAACGCCAGTTTAATGAATTACGTCAATTACTGTCGTGTGACCGGTTTAAATTTAACATCATATAGTTTGTTGTGCACAATGAATTAATAGTATAGAAAAGTACTTAAGTGTGTTAAGTGGGATAATTTAGTGTTATAAATGAGTGTTGCTTAGATAGATTTCCTTCCTCCTGAGTATAAATGAATGACTATATATATACATATATATATATATATATGTCGAAGTGGTAGTTGTCTATTTGGAAGTGACACTAGGTAGGCGAGAAATCTTGGAATGGACATTTCGTCCTATTTTTAGACTCGTCAGTTGGTACATGCACCTGCATTTTGCTTTGACTGATGGTCTTTTCAGTGACACAGGAAACCTACACCCATCAAATCAAACGCCAAATGATTATCTGCTTACTAATGCACCAGGTGACGACAGCAGATATGCTGACTCTATTATTGCAAAAGATCTGGAATGAGGGAAAGGTGCCTACTGACTGGAGGAAAGGATACCTTGTGAAACTACCAAAGAAGGGCGACTTAGGCCTCACTCTGCAAGAACTGGCGAGGAATCATGCTCCTCTCGACACCAAGTAAAGTCCTGAGTCTCATCATCTTGGAGAGAATAAAAGACGCACTGGATACAGAACTCCAACAAGAACAAGCTGGATTCAGGAAAGGCAAATAATGTCCTGACCAAATTGCAACTCTACGCATCATCATCGAACAAAGCGTGGAATGGCAAACAAATCCCTCCGTACCTCAGCTTCATAGACTTTGAGAAGGCCTTCGACAGTGTTAACCGCGAAGTAATTTGGAAACTACCCGAGTACTACGGCGTACCCCAAATATTCATCAACCTTATTCAACAGCTGTACGACAACGGCACATGTAAAGTGATCCACAACGGAAACCTCAGCAAGGCAGTTGCAGTGAACACAGGAGTCAGACAAGGGTGCTGGCTTATTATCACCTATGATATTCCTAATTGTGATGGACTGGATTATGCGTCAGACAGTGAGTGAGAAACGAGAAGACAGGATATCTTGTCTGGACTGACCAACGTGAAGAACATAGAAGACCTGGATTTCGCACGTGGATGATTTATGTTTGATGTCACGCAAAATCGAAGACTAAAGCGAAAACCGACAAACTCGTAGAAGAAGCAGCCGGCGAAGACAGGACTCCAGGTGAACATAGACAAGACAGAGGTTATGAAAATAACCAACCAACAACAACAACAACAAAATTCGGTCGGATTTTCAATACAAACAAAGTCATTTCAGTCAGTTCTTCTATACGGATCAGAAACTTGGCGGGTGGGTCACAAAGAATATTTCCAACAGCCTGTTGCAGACTTTTATCAACAACTGTCTTCGTTAGCTCTATACTGAAGATCAGTCAGATGGTCGGACCGGAAAGAATCACCAACAAGAACCTATGGGAACAAACAAAACAAGAACAAGCCAATCGCCAACCAACAAATATACAGGTGAAAGTGGAGATGACACATTGGACACTCGCTGAGGAGACCGCTGGGTGGTGTCGGGCGATTTCTTCGAGTGGAACCCGACAGAATGGGAAGTGGCGAATGGGTCGTCAGTGCAGAGGGTGATATGGAGGAGATCGCGTGGAGAGGAGTTGAAACAGTATGGACTAACATGAATGCAGGTGAGAAGTACAGCAGAAGACAGAAGCAAGTGGAGACGTGTAGTTGAAGCCCTATGTTCCACTAGGAACCCAAGGGAACAATAATAATATAATAAATGCACGAGGTTATAATAGGTGAAGGATTCCAGTCTCAATGGGAACAGCAGCAATCACTTATCGGGGATGTGCAGGTACGTCCAGTTGGTGAGTCCCAATTGGGAGGAAATGTGCATACCCTGAATTCCACTGATAGCCACCACTGTCCAAGATAAATTCACGTTAATCTCCTCAGGCATCACTGATGCGTCCGTATATATCATCAACACAAAGACCAAGCATCCTGGTCGTGCGTGCTCTCCGGAATCCATACGGACCGAATAGCGTCTAAACTTGTATTGGTCACCGGAAATCATGGGAAAGTAGTAGCTTGACGCTTCTACGTTGCCTTGCAGATCAGACTTTAAGCCAAAGCTTCGTGGGAAGGGTGGGGGTGCCTTAAGACAACCATGTGATCCTGTCGCCTAGGCGAACTGGAAGTATCCTTCTCCTTGTACTAATAATAATGAAACAGCAACTTATGAGGAATTCTAATTGCAAGCTGACATTCATGAACCACAGTAAAGCTTCTATTAGCGTGTCTCTTTTCAACCTTATTTTCATGCATATACTTTTGTGTTTTTTGTATGCTATCCTTAGTCTCTTTACTTTCGTCAGCGTCTTGCCTTTATTTGGCCCAAGTGGTCTAGTGGGTAATACTTTGTGTGACGCATCGTCTGTGCTTCTTATATTGTACTAAGTGTGCTGTGTTTTAACCTGTCACTATCATCTCTATATTGTCATTAATAACTTTCGTGGAATTGTTACTGTTTTCTCAATAATAAAAGGGGGATTGCATATCACAGATTACCCGCAATATTCAAGTTTTTGGTATCACTATTCGATAATTAAATCTTGATTTATTGATAGTCGCATATTACTGTTGTATTATTCTTCATTCGTTGCATTCCCGTCGGAATACAGAGCTTCATTTGTACATCTTCATTGCACTGGTTTCTCCTTCAACACTTTCGGATGGCGGCTGTCACGAATTCATGAAATATTTCATCTGCCTTTTATAAATGATATCCGCCCTGTCACCTTTGAAGCGATGCCCAACCCATCTCTCCTCATTTGAGTTGTACTCAAGTGTCTGATAGGCGTCATGGGAGGATGTTAGCTGAATGTGTTTTCAGTGTATGCGTAATCCACCTTCACTCAATTCTGCATGTTTGTTCGGTGTGTTTAGTTGCCTGATGAAGTTCCTTATTGCTTATACTTTTCGGTCGGTTAGTTGTTATTGACTATGGAGTGATGACAGATATCGGAAAGGCATTCGATGACTGACTTGATGATCGTTAAAAATGAAAACCCGCCGTATCTTTCTTCTTTGTTTCAAGTTTGATTACAGATTGATGTCAGTTAGAGAAACACTGAAAACTAGCTGAGAGTACTGAAGAGCCGCTTTGTCCTAGTTCGAGACTCTTCAGCAATACGCACCCACCCACCAGGGTTAGAACCTAGGACCTACCAGTTACAAAGCAAGCTTGCAAACCATTCAACTATTAGGACGTACGTAGTCCAATGACCTATAAATTCCAAATTCTATCAATTCGTAATCAAACTTGAAACAAATCATATCCTTACAAACTAACTCTTCGAAATTCATCTGATGCTCAATATTGACACCTGACTACAGTTTGTAGTTGACGCGAATGAGTTCTAGAAAGAAGCTGTGACCAGTGTGGCGTCCATCAGCAGATCGGGGCTATGAGAACAAATACCCACCGATAATATTGACTGGTGGTCGCACTAAAACCAATGGCTTGACAGAAATTTAGAATTCATGGGTTTATGGAATTGGCTCTTATTGGCTGAATAATCTACAAGTTAGACTTATAGCTGGTTAGGTCCAGGTTTCGAGCCCCAGGGGGTTCATACTTCTAAAGAGTCCTAAATCAGAAAACAGCTTTTGCTGACTTATGCAGATATCATCACACTGATTTCATTGAGATTCATGAATGCCTGTCTTACTCTCCTGAATGAACCAAACCGGCTCTAATATCGTTATCGTTCTCAACCACCACCCCCCCCATCATTTCCTATTGGGACTTCAACACTTGATAGACATTTTACACAATAGTCACATCATTTATATGCATGACAGGATCTGTCGTCAAGTATGGATTTATGTTCAACAAAATAGCATTATCAAGTATTGGTTTTTTGTAGGGATTTTGTTTGATTCATTGGTTGGAGGATTTCATCATAAGCTGATATCAGTTAGAGAACCATTGGAAAAACCAGCAGTGGAGTACTGGACAGCCGTTTTGTCCTCCAACTAACCAATTAAACAAAATCCCTACAAAAACCACTACTTGAAAATTCATATGGTGCTCACTAGCGACTGGCCCTATCTATTCAGTCAGTTACCTGGGGTTCTATCGGCAAGCCGTGACCAGTGGGATGCAGCAGGTTGAAGGTGAGGCAGTAACTCATTGACGACGACGAAGAAGAAGAAGACACTGAGAAGTTGTCGCGCTATGTCATGAATTGGCAGAAGTTAGAATTCACGGGCTAGGCATTGGATTGGGTCCCAGCGGCTAAATGGTCTACAAGCTCAATAGCCTTGTAACCAGAAGGTTGTGGGTTCGAACCCTACTTTGATGTGAGGTGCGTACTGTTGAAGAGTCGGAAACAAGGACGGAGGAAACAGCTGGTTGTCCAGTACTACTTCAATGGTGGTTTTACAACGGTCCTCTAACCGATTAATTCAGCTCATAATGACGAAATCTTCCAAAATAGCATTACATCTTATTTATTTATCATTTATTTATTTAAACGCATAAAAACTTGGTACAATATGGCACCAAGAAGGATGCGCCACACAATAATAATAAAGCAGCATAGATCAAAAGAAAAAAAAGAAAGAAGAGAAAACAATATATATATATATATATAAGTAGAGAACGGATAAAGAACTTCATCTGGAAGGAAAACAGTCATGCTTAACAGGTTCAAACAGTATTCGTTAACTATCATCGGGAACGGAAGAAAGAAGGAAATTGCAAGACGTGTAATAGCAAGCGATAAGTTTCATTGATTGTTTATTGCTTCATTCAGTTCATTGTGTGACGGCTGAGATACTGCCCGGGTGCCCAGACCGAAGCAGGTGACTTCATTAAGGGACCACCCCCCGAGCCTTTGACTTGCAGTCTAATCCGTAAGGCAGCGGAGCAGCGTCAGGAGCTGCATTCCCATGGTTTCCGGTGACTCATATGGGTTCATATGCCATTTGATCCGATTGGATACTGGAGCTCATGTACCCCATGGTAACTGATTTTAGTTTAACCGCTATCCAGAAAACCTTCCTGACATGGTAGGACCTGCAGGGACAGGTCCCAGTCAGTTTAGCATGTTGGGTCATTACGGTATTCAAGCCCGACCACCACGACAAAGTAGCAGTTATCGGCTGGGGCATTACTTCTTAACGAGTTCACTAAAAATATATTCATCTAATATGGCAAAAACCAGAGAAAAAAAGATATCCATTGATATATTCAATCGTGAAAGTTAAGTTCGTAGAAGAAAGATAGCACATACGTCAATGGTACGTAATATATATATTTCAAAATAGTAACATTTTTTGTCATCATCACCATTACCACCCGTCATTCCATTGTCAAAACAACATCAGGCCTATCATGATTTAAAAATAAATTGGGGAACGAGTAAATAAGTTGATAGACACTTTGATAGACATTAGCAAATCTGAAGTATGATAATAATAATAGTAATAATTACGTGTTTATGTGTGCGTGTGTATGTCTTGTGTGTGTGTGTGTGTGTGTGTGTGTGTGTAAGAGAGGGGGAGTGAGAGCAAGCATAGTGGATGATAACTAGAACTGCTGGAGGATTTCATTACACGTATTGACTTACATATTTGTTATGTAAAACAAAACGCACTTTACTCTCTTGAAGAATGTAAACTACATACCGACGACGTGTAGTATTACTATAGGAAATTCTACTTATAATCAGATATAAGTAGTATATAGTAGTAAACGAAATTATAAAAGCAACAAGAGAGTGTTTCGAACACTGGAAAACAAAGCGGTCGAAGAAGAGGAACAGAACTATGAGAGCGAAAGCCGTTAGAAACACTGTGCAGACTACAACAAGTTATCGAATGCAGTGATTTTTCTTCGAAGGATTTGCAAATGATGTGCAAGCGAATAAAGCAAAGCATTGGAGATATTATTATTATTATTGTTCCCTTGGGTTCCTAGTGGAACATAGGACTTCAACTACACGTCTCCACTTGCTTCTGTCTTCTGCTGTACTTTTCACCTGCATTCATGTTAGTCCATAGTGTTTCAACTCCTCTCCACGCGATCTCCTCCTTGTCACCCCCTGCACTGACGACCCACTCGCCACTTCCCATTCTGTCGGGTTCCACTCGAAGAAATCGCCCGACACCACCCAGCGGTCTCCTCAGCGAGTGTCCAATGTGTCATCTCCACTTTCTCCCATATATTTGTTGGTTGGCGATTGGCTTGTTCTTGTTTTGTTTGTTCCCATAGGTTCTTGTTGGTGATTCTTTCCAGCCCGGTCATCTGACTGATCTTCAGTATAGAGCTAACGAAGACAGTTGTTGATAAAAGTCTGCAACAGGCTGTTTGAAATATTCTTTGTGACCCACCCGCCAATTTTCTGATCCGTATAGAAGAACTGACTGAAATGACTTTGTTTGTATTGAAAATCCGACCGAATTTTGTTGTTGTTGTTGCTGGCTGAGTGACGAAGATTTCCAGATTGTGGTTGTTTCAGGTTGATGAATGTGTTTCTCGCCCCCCCCACCCGATTCTCGCTCGATTTGACATCGTCGTCCGTTCCAACTGCCTGTAGTTGAGACAATGCTCCCCAGGTGACAAGTGAATGAAGTGACCTCTTTCAAATCCCTCCCGTTGATGGTGATTGGCGCTTGATGCTTGTGCTGTTGTTGTTGTTGGTTTTCTTGTCTATGTTCACCTGGATTCCTGTCTTTGCTGCTTATTGGAGGTATCGTTATATCAAATTTATGTAGCTACACTGATTTTGTCCTGATAAACATTCCTTCCAGCTTCATCGGTCCTTTTTTCTTAAATTGCTACTCCTTACTCATTTTGTGTAACATTATTACCTCAGATTCTCAGAAATAGGAAAAGCCCTATGGTTTTAATCTTTTTACTGGGAAAACCTGTGAAAGTTACTATTTTGAGTTTTATGTTTACAATCGTTGTGTTGCATTGTCGAAAAATAATTTAGAAGGAGAGTCTGTGTGTCTGCGTATTGAAGATAAATTGACAACTTAGATTATGAGTCTTTTCTCTAGGAATTTGGACTAATTTCAGTTGTGAACCAATGTTGGTTGCAGGAGACGACGTATTGAGAACCAGGGAGTATTTGACAGCTGTTTCGGTCTAGTTTGTGACTCTTCATCCCACAGTGAGCAGTCACAACTCATTACCCTACGAGAAATGGATATCCTTCACACCAATCTCCAGGTTGTTCATGGTTACTGGATAGATTTCGTAAGACGCTGTACTGAGAAATCGCAACCAATGGGAAGCCATTATGTTACAGTAGAAGACGATAGCGCTATATCACGAATTATAAATGGAGTTAGAATCTAGGCATCATTGAATTCTTGCCTAAGTAGGTGAATGATCAAGAATTTTGTGTGCGTAACCTGGCAGTGGATCTGGATTCAAACTCCCTGATGCAGTCTCAGGTAGGCGTACTGTTGAAAAGTCCCAAAAATAGGATTGAATAGCTGTCCAGTGCTCCGTAGTTTCCAATGATCTTTCTAACTGGATGTTCACATCGCTACCTGAGTATTGATCGTAATAAATGCAGTAAAATAAGGACATAGCGTAGCTCGTTTGAATCTCGTAGCTCGTTTGTAGATATTTGAATTTCATATTTGTGGAGTTCAGGTTGTTTAATGAGCATGTCGTGTTAGTATATTTTTTTTGCTCTTAAGGGTTGTGGTGTGTGCCAATGCTTTGGTATTCGGTGTATTTATGATGTTAACGCGTTTACTTTAGATATTCAAAAAGGTTTTCTATGTTAGTATTATTGAATATAACGTTTTCTTCCACTAAATAGACATTACTTAGACAAACATTGTGAGACAGATAGTACTGGATACCTTTTTTTTCGTCCTCGTTTCGGACGTTTCTCATTATTATGCATCTATGACTCCACCAGGGGATTGAACTACGGCTTCAGAAGAGAGAATGAATACTCTCGCCGGTGGCATTGACTGGTGCTAGCGCTATATATGTGATAAATTGACAGGAGGTTAAAATTCATGGACGACCCCGTTTGAATTCTGTCAAGTGAAAAGTAACAAGTTGGCAGAAGAAACATCTCAGAGATAGGACTTCAGGTGAACATAGAGAAAACAGGGGTGATGAAGATTCCTGGCCAACAGCAACAACAATCAGCAACCTTTTTTACTCACCTACTTGGGAAGCATCATTTGAAATACTGACTGATTGAACTGATGAGAATATCGAGGTGAAGTTCGGGAGAGCAAAACAAGTCTTCATTACTCTCAAGTCTGCGTAGAGATCACCAGCACTCATCAGCATGAAAAATTAGATCCGGATTTTCAACTCTAATGTAAAGTCAGTGCCACTTACAATACGGATCAGAGACTTGGTGCCGCGCTGCGTTACGAAGTGCACTTTGAACAATCTACAGACTTTGATGAACAACTGTCTTCGCTCAATACTGCTCAAGATCAGATGGCCACAATGGATGAACAACATGGATCTCAGGCAATGAACCAACTAACCCAGGAGGAACGAATTGCGCAACAAATATACAGGAAGAAATGGAGGTGGATTGGCCATACTCTGAGAAAACAAACCATCAAGGGACACCACACACCAGGCCATTGCTCGAGTAGAGCCCGAGCAAAATGGGAATCGGCGAATCATTTGGTCGTCAGTACGATGGTGACAACACGAAGGGAGTCATGCGAAGAGGAGATGAAAGCATGTAGGGAGACGTGGAGCGAGGTGAGAACGTTTGCAGAGAACCGAATGCAATTGTCACATGAGGCTGAAGCCCTGTGTTCCTTTGAGAATCAAAGGAAAAATAATAATTAAATTCCGTCCCAGATGCTATTAATGAAATGGCCTCAACTCATCATTTGCTTCATCTCCTGAAAGTCGTGGGTTCAACCCGTGGGTGGCTGAGATTTCGTGAGTGTGTATACTACTCAAGGGTTCTGGACTAGAAAGGATGCAATAACTAAGTCTCCAGTGCTCTTTGATTTTCTATGGCTGTGTAACTGATGTTATTTTGTCATCTAACTCTAAGGTCATCTCCTCTGATTATTCCTTCTCCGTGGTGTTTTCACTCAATATTCTTTATCTATGGATTTCTCTTATTATTTCTCAAAAATAGTCACAAATTTCTATTCCCTATAGGAGTCAAGTAATCCATCTCAACGGAAACGTTTTACCCGTTCAGAAATGGCACGTATCTTAGCTGAACGTAATCATTACAAAGAACGTCTACTAGAATTACAAGATGCTGTACGCTTCACAGAGACACTACGTGTTGGTCAAAAAGGTCATCCAGATTTATTATCGAAGATTATGACAACACCATCACAACAACAGAAATGTGATACAGTTACACCAGTCAGTGGACCATTACAAAGTTTACAAAAATTGTAAGTCTTTTTGTCTACATTTACGCTGCACACACACACTCACACCAATCCCCCGCTATTTTGATTCTGAACTCTTAAAACAATTAGAGTTCGCTTTAGGAATTTAAACAGAGCAATAAGAAGACGTAATTTGTTTGAATCGCGTGTACTGTGTATTTGAGTAAACACATTTCGAACAATCTGATCCATCACACAGGGATTTGTACTTCCTTCGGCGGTACATATACTAAAATTGGAACGATACAGAGAAGATTAGCATGGCACCTGTGCAAGGATGACACGCAAAATCGTGAAGCGTTCCATATTTTTTAAACCTCTCCTAGACTACTAGCTTGCTAGTTTTTATAGCCGGTCCCAAGCCCGGATAAAGAGGGAGGGTTGGGGCGTGGTGCTAACAACTCCACTTCCAAAACTCAACCAAACCGCTACAGAAACTTCAATGCACCAATATATTAAAAATTCTAAAAATACAAACAGTAACCTTATTTTTCGATGGAATCGGGGAAGTGAAATGACGCAGGCTGGTGAAAGCCTTTGGAAGGCAGTCAGCCGATCTGCCTTCTTCCGATGAAAGCAAAAATAAGGATGGGTACATGGAATGTTCGTACAATGTAAAAAACTGGAAAGGCTGCCCAGGTAGCAGCAGAAATGAGGAGATATAGAATGAGAAGTGCTGGGAATCTGCGAGAGCAGATGGAACGGGTGTGGTAGGTGCCAACTACCAACTGGGGAGACATTAATCTATTCCGGCCACCCAGAGGACAACCACGGGCACATCGAGGGAGTGTGTCTGTCTGTCTGGATTCAACATAGAACTTGGCACCGAAGTGCAGCAGTTCGAGTTGCCACGTTCCAAACAGCACACAGAGGTAGACAAGAAGATGAGTGAAGAGAATAAATACAGTCTGACAAGTATAAGAGTGAAACAGAATGGGTACATCGAGGGAGTGGCCATCATGATGTCACCAACAGTAACCGAAGCTGACATGCAGTGGGAACCAGTCTCCTCCAGGATAATGACAGGAGTATATATAAACATACGAAATTAATAAAGAGTTTAGAGGTGAGAAAATATATTTAGGTCATGCTAAAAGGACATGTTGAAGGTCAAAATAACAATGAAAATCACTAAACCAAATAGGAGAGGTCAACAGTACATCTACCCTGGCTGGTATTAAAACAAAGTTTGCCAAGGAAGGTAGGTTTTAGTGGGATAACGAATTGTTGCTTTGATAGTATAAAGGTGATTTAAACTTCCTAATTGTCAGCTATGGCTTCCACAAACTTTAAGATTCTCCCTCACCCAAGCACGTTCTATAGATGTGTTTAAAAGACGTGTAGAAACATCAATGTTTTGTCCTGTCTCTATAATATGTTTCGCAGTACAGAACTTAGGTCTCTTCTCACCATTAATTAATGGGTTCTGAAGATTCTATTTGCTTCTGTAGCCAGCTCTTACTTGCAGAGATCGATGAGTTCTCCCTATGTATGTGTGTTTGCACACATACATTCAAATTCGTAAATACAGTAGGATATGTCATTATTTGTCGCACATCCGAAGGGTCTAGATGGACATTTCCGCCTCACATTCTCAATTATTACGATCTGAGTTGCATAAAACGTCATTTTAACCGCAGCGTTCTATCTCTGTCGAATTACCAAGCTGCTATGATTACCTTTATAGGGTAGCTTGATTTAAACATCTTTCTTAGTGGCGAGTTGGAGAGTGGGATTTGATGTTCTGGCTACTGTATATCTCCTGAGGAAATTGTCAGAATAATTATTATCACCCGGAGTTTGTGTAAGTTTTCATTCTTCCTGTTCAAATGTGTCTTCAGTGCATATTCGTTGGTTTCTACTGAAGAGGCACCTTACTAAGGCTGTTTTGTACCGAACATGACAGAAACTGTGGTAATTAAGAAATTGTCCTATCCAGTTGGGTTTTCTATAAGTAGATCTTTTTATTGACCCATCAAGCCATCCGTTGACTAAGCAATATGTCTAGGAAAGATAAACAATTATCTTCTTCTTCTACAGATGTAAGTGATATGCTTGCTATTCTGAACTTCATTCATTTAATTTAAAATTGAGGTGGCAGAACAAGACTTATCACTTATGATTACAATGTCATCTATATACCTTCTAAAAAAGTGGCACATTATCAGTTAAATCCTCTGATAAATTCTCAGTGTGCGACATACAGATATATGCTGAAAGGGGCTCTAACGAACTTCCCATAGCGCAACACTATCAACTAGACAGAAGCAATCGTCTTCAAATGTAAGCCTTAACATTGCTAATACATAGAAGTAATAAATCCTTATGTGTGGAAATGTAATCACACAATATATCAATTGTTATAAGTAAAGGCACATTCATGAATAAAGAGTTTACGTCGAAAAAGTGCATATTTTTTTATTCATGATATTAATATCATCAGATTATTCGAAATGTGTTGCGCAAAAATACACATTACACGAAATGTAATAAATTACGTCTTCTTATTCCACTGTCCAGATTATGAACTTGTTGTTTGATTTAGTCATTAACGCAATCGTACTCCTCTTTTTTGAAAAGTGACAGAGAAACATGGGAAAGTCGGCCGGTATCAGCAGGTCTACACCGATAGTATAACGGATTCATAGCGTACTTGCAACGGCAGAACACAATAGTATTATGTTGGAGAATCCGTTTATTTGACTAAATGCAGTATAACCTAATGCATTGCAATCTCCATTTACACTTATTCTTTATATTTTGCCCCTGTTTTGTCCTCCTCTCATGTTTTTTTTTAAATATTTTATTTCATACAAAGATCTCCGCTAAGAAAGATTCTCTTAAAAATTCGCATATACATTATATACTACTTACAATATCGTGTTAGTAGCACATGCCACGTACTGAAAGGAAATGTAATTAGGTCGTTGCACAAGTTGTAACGATGATGATGATCTCTAAGTATTTGTCTAGAAAACCTGCAGCAGAAGAAAAAACACATTTAGGACACTTCAATCCACTCCAGTCCACCACATCACACTCTGAGCACTGCAAGTATCCTGTCTAATCTTGAAATGGAAATCCACTTTTCTCATTATGTTGATGTATATATTTTTGTCTATTTATAGTACAGAAAAGGTTGCCTAGTCACTTCACCTCTTCTGGTATTATTATTGTAAATTCATACCTTAAGCTTAACTGTTACATTAATTATTGATTTTTATTATTCCTATGGGTTCCGAATTGAATGAATATAGGTCGGCATTCACTAGGCAGCAGGATGTATCTGCAACCATGAAGGAACTCATATCTCTTCCTGGATTCGAACCGAGTGCCAACCAGAACAAAATCTAGGTCGTACAAGGCTTCCTACCGATTGCCTTCAACCATCTGATATCATCAAATCAATGTGCACCGTGATGGTGAGCTACCTAATGGCATGGTGGCCACATTGTAAACCTGACTGATAGAATTCAGTCTGCACCAAAGAAAGGACTAGACAAATCACACTAGTTACTAGTGTCCAATGAAAATATCCAAAGCAGTCCTACAAGAGGTCAATCCCGAGCTTGAATACTTCAGTAGCAATCTCAATGACTGTAGCACTAGGTGGCACTGGTTCGAATCTCCAAAGGGACGTGAGTTCCTTTGAAGTTCCTTGAAGTAACTGGACTGGTTTTCATGGAGAATGTTGTAGTAAATTGACTAAAGAAAAGCTGAAATTCAACAGTTGTGTGAGTTACTTGATATGATTATGAGCAATAGTTTGTGCTCGAAACGGCATCAGTTAATATAACTGGACAACACTGTGTGATTTATCAAAATAAAATCTTATCCATAATGGAGTCAACAGATGACTGTTTTGGACACTTCAACAGTCTTCACTCAGCATTTATTAGTTCTCGCCTGCAGCGATGAATTGTTTGTTGCTATTGCCGAGACTGAACTTCGTGCAATGCCCATAGGTGAGTTACTCTGCTAGAGAGATGTGACTCATTGACCTAATCACTCAGTTTTCAGTATATAGGTCTCAAGTGAGTTTCCAGTCGTCCTCCACCTTTCTTCAGTTTTCACACGATAGATTTGTGGCCATAAGTTTCGCCTTTGACTGACTGCAAACAAGCTCACATTTAAATATGATGGAGAAGATTTTTAGCTCAGGTGGATGATTTTGATGTGGTTCTGTTATCTGAGCTGGATGATTCAATTGCGAAGCTTTCATAGCCCCACCACTAGGTAACATCTTCAGCGGATACTTCAATTTAAAGTGAGGTGAGCTTTTAGATTTTTCCACGAGTTTATTAATCATCTCTCCTGGTGACCTTGGATGTGATTGCTTGTTTTTGTGTGTTTTCACACCCTCTAGGCTACTTGTATTGGAACTGATTGTTTCTTTGACTTGAAATTTGACCCTTTGTGTCTGTGTGAGGTTTCTTTCTCATCGGTTGATAAGTTTTGTCTATCTCGATGATTCAGTGGAATATCAGGGCTGTAAATATTATCTGGCATTCTTGTTGTTTCCCCTGTCTAATATTTGAACGTTGGATGTCCCAGTCGAATTGATGTCCGTGGTTGTGTCTATGTAGTGATATGAGGGAGTGGATATCATGTCTTTTGGCGGGTAGCTTATATTCGTGGATACGAAGACGAAGAGGACTTTGTCCACTTTGGCCATTGTAATGTTTTTCACAGTCGTTGCAGTTTATTTTGTAGGTGATGTTGGTTTTATCTTCTTTCGCTGTTGAGTCTTTTGGTTGACATAGAAGTGTACAACGTCAATTCCTAAAGGTTTGAAGGGTCTTGTAGTGATTTCTGAGATATCCTTTATATATGGTAAGGTGATTTTCTTTGTGCTTTCCTTGGGGGGCTTTCGGTTTGATAGGTTTGCTTGGGGGTATATGTCTTTTGATGAAATTCCGTGGATATCCATTCTTTTGGAAGACGTACATGAGATATCTTTCCACGATTTTCATTAGATTCGGAGTGCTGCGATGAGTCCTGGC